TTTTCCCCCTGTAGTCCTATAGTTGCAGCAGCAGCAGCAGCTGGGGCAGGACCAAGGCATCAGATTTCCAGCGCTCTGGTTTCCTTTTTGGTCAGAGTCTTTGACACAATGAGGCTTCTGTCCACTGACCCAGGGATTCCAGACTGGGGAGACAATGGCTGATGGCTCCCATGCTGAGCTCCCACCATCCCCCATGGGGGGCTGCCAGACTGCTTGCAGCTTGGCTCAAGGCAATGCATGTGCCCATCTTGTCTAAGGTGACATCAGGCTAGAGCTTTTTTTTTTCAAAGATTAATTTATTTTTATTGCAAAGTCAGATACATATATATAGAGAGAAAGAGGATAGACAGAAAGGAAGATTTTCCGTCCAATGGTTCACTCCGCAAGTGACTGCAATGGCCGGAGCTGCGCCAATCCAAAGCCAGGAGCCAGGAGCTCTTCCAGGTTTCCCACATGGGTACAGGGTCCCAAGGCTTTGGGCCGTCCTCGACTGCTTTCCCAGGGCACAGGCAGGGAGCTGGATGGGTAGCAGGGCTTCCAGGATTAGAACCGGTGACCATGTGGGATCCCAGCACGTTCAAGGCGAGAACTTTAGCTGCTAGGCCACTGTGCCAGGCCCCAGGCTAGATCTTGAACTCAGGTCCCCCTCAGGACAGTTGAATGAGGTCAGAATGGAGGAGAGGCTCAGCCAGGGCATCCTGGATTCAACCCTGGCTCCATTGCCACCAGTCACCCCTTCAGCTTGGGCTGAGTCCTTCCCCTAGCTGTGCTTCAGCTTCATCCTCTGCAGAATGAGCTGTGCATCCTGTGGGCTTGAGCTGAAGCTCAGATGGGTCAGGTTGTTGGGAAGGCCTGGTGCCAGGGTTTGGGCACCATTTGGGTACCATCTGGGCTACAGATGCTCACCCCAACCCTTTGGAGCAGGGAGAGGTGGGGAAGGAGTGTGGCCACCCAGAACTGGCATCGTGCTTGACAGAGAGCTTGGTGCACATTCAGTAAAGTACGTTGCATGCATGTTGGTAGCATGGACGCCACATGGGGCACCCAAAGCTGCCCCCTCTACAGCCCTGGAGGTCCAGGAATGACAGAGGAGAGCAGGAAGCAGGAGGCCCCTAAAGGCTGCAGATGGTCTGCACAGGGGCTGCTGCCCCTCCCATGCCACCTACCTTGGCCACTAGGCAGCAGCGATGAGCCACAAGCTCCATTCCTCACCTTTTGTGCCCACACCCTTAAGGTTGGTGCCGTGTCTAATACACTAGGGCTTGGGTAATATTCTGTGAAGGCTAGAGCCAGGGATGCCGGAATGAGTCAAACCAGCCCGGCCTTTACCCCCGAAGCAAGCACCCATCCAGTGGCAGTGGATGGGGGTGGCAGGGGGAGAGTCTTCAGGAACGATGCTTTCCCCCGTGCTGCGGTGGCTGTGCCCCAAGGGAGCAGGACACAGGGACACGTGCTCTGGAGGGCGGAGGTAGGACATGAGAAGGAAGATGGGGGCTGCACAGCAGTAGTTAGGCCTGGTGGGACAGTGAGCAGCACCCCAGGTACTTGACCCGCCACAGATACTCAGGAAACACGCCTAGGTGGAATGGCTGACTGAGCAAGGCTGAGTCACTGGGGCAGCATACCATCCTCCCGACCTGGGCCCAGCTCCTTTTTCTGCCTGCACCTGCTCCAGTTCAAGGCCACTTCCTCAGTCCTTTTCAACAAGCTCCCACAGGCTGGCAGGTGCCCGCCTCCTATGTCTGTATCCAGAATCCACTGTTCCCCATAGAGGGGACTGGAGAGAGACCAGAGAGGGACACTTGTCCCAGATCCCTTCCTCTTATTACTTAAAAAAAAAAAGTGCCAATTGCCAGGCAAACTGATGGTCTGGCAAACCAGTGCCCCACTGTGGAGTCTTTTTCTGAACAAAGTCAAACAGCAGAGCAGCAGGTGGTGAGGGAGAAAGCTCCATTAACAACATGGGAAGCCAATGTAATAGAGCGTCCTTGCCCACAGGGTGCTGGGTCTCCAGGGAGGCTAAGGTACAGCAGAAACAGATGTGCATACCCTCAGTGGGATTAGCTCCTAGGGTGCCTTTCTACCAGGTGCTCTTTCAAGTCAAGTTCAAGGTACAAAGAGCCAGTGGTGTGTCTGCCATTGGCCTTTGGATGGGAGAAAGGATTCATGTGTGTGCTCCGTTCATAGAAGGGAGATGCTGTGTGCCGGCCCCGGTGGGACCAGGAGGTGGCCCCCAGAGAAGCTCAGTTACCTACCTCACTGGTGGACATGGTATAGGCAGGGGAGATGAGAACATGAGGCTAGAAGGACCGCTGGGCTTTTGCTGCCAGGTGCTGAGAGAGGTGGAGAGGAGGTGGCTGGCTCCTCTGCATGTCCTGCTGCATGTCTGTGAGGGGCGGGGGGCACCAGGAATAGGACCAGTAACATTGGGAACCCAGTGACTGCCCCATGGGCTATGATTAGAAGCGGGCCAGGAGATGGGAGTCTTATACCCACACTGACTGTGTGCTCATGCACAAGACACCATATCTATCTGGGTCTCAGTTTCCCCACCTGTGAAACGAGAACAGTGGGACCATTTTTCTAGCTCTTGCCTCAACACTGCAGCAGATGTGTGACCAGGCCAGGCAATAGCACAACAGGTGTCCCACCTTCCCCCGCAGTGGCTGTGAGTCTTAGAGGGCAGCCCTCCCTAACCCTAGGCCTGCATGCCACCAGGCCTCACTCGTTTGGGTTGACACCCTCTTCCAGGCATGAAGATCCCGTGGGGAGACCGTGAAAGAAACCCATATGGCCAGCAGTTCCCGACCAGACACACATATGGCCACAGGGGGCTGTGGGGAGCAGCTTTGAGCCCTTGGCCAAACCTTGGCGAGATCCTATACACCCTGCCAGGAGATTTTGGGGTTTTTGGTTTGCTTTGGTTTGGTTTTTGCTTTTAGTTGGCATTGCACAAACTCCACAGACTCCCCTGGGCTAGAGTGTACTGATCAGAAGCTCTGATTGGCAGTTTCTGGGTCATGGTTGGTAGACAAGATGCTGCCTCAGAGGGTCACATGATCTGGCTGTCTGGTCACAAGCCACACTGCCCCTGGCCAGTATGTCATTGGCCTTGAAAGCAGGCTGACGGTGGCATCTTTTTAAGTGAGAAAGCTCGGCCGTAGAGGGCAGAGTTGGGCATTCAAAAAGGACTTTAGTGTGGAAATTTGGGGACAGATTTCAGCAGCCATGGGTAATTGAAATTTTAAAAATCAATTAAACAAATATTTACTTATTTTTATTTGGAAGGTAAATTTACGGAGAAGGAGAGACAGAGATAAAGATCTTGCATCCACTGGATCACTCCCCAAATGACCGCAATGGCCAGAGCTGAACTGATCCAAAGCCAGAAGTCAGGAGCTTTTTCTGGGTCTGCCACATGGGTGCAGGGTTCCAAGGACTTGAGCCAGCCTCAACTGCTTTTGCATCTATAATTAAGAAGTTGGATCAGAAAAGTAACAGCTGGGACTAGAACCAGTGCCCATATGAGATGCTGGCTCTGGAGGTGGAGGATTAGCCTGTTGAGCCACATACCAGCCCCTAAATAAATCTTTTTTTAAAAAAAAGTGCCATAGGAAGCTTATGCCCAAGACCTGAGAAGCTGGGTGGAGGCCGGAGGATGAGATAGTGCGAATTCAGCTCAGGTGAGCACAAGCACCAGGGCAGACAGCCTCAGGTGGCCCCTGAGCCGGGAAGGTGGGTCCTGGGGGATCAGAGAGGAGAGCTCCAACGCCTTTCCCTGGTGTTCATCGCTGGTTCTGAAACACTCCCTTCTTTCTGCCCCCTCCCATTTCCTCCCTCCCTCACGGCTCCCTGCAGTCTGCCCTGGGCATCCTGGCACACATTGCCTGCTGGACCTGCCCTGCACTGCCCTGCCCCTCCCCAGCCCAGGCTTCTCTGACAACCTGAGTACAGCCAGCCTCTGGGCCCACCACCCTACCTTGAACTGCTTACAGGGGCTAGAAGACATATCCACTTGCTTAGTTGTGAACAGGCACCACCAGCATTCCCCCAACTCAGTGCTCCCACAGCTGAGCCCCTTTCTGCAAGCTGCCCTCAGCAATGAGTGGAGTCTGCAGGGTCCCCCGCAGGCGACCTGGAGCCATGGGCTGTAAAGGCTGAGCACCCCTTGCCCTCCCCATGGGCAGGCAGGTCAGCCAAGGCACTCTGGGTACCTGCCTCCCAGCCCAGCTTACCCTGTGCCCCGCCCTTTTCCCAGAACCTCAGTCATATCTGTCCTTTGAGAGTATGTTTGCCAGGGAACCAGCGGCGGGAGGTTTCAGGGCTAAGGGGAGTCTTTTTTTTTTTTCTTAATTTATAAACCTTAAGAAGGAATTCCTTTTATTTTCCTTGAAAGGTAGATCTCCCATCCATTGGGTTCACTCCCTGCAAGCAGCCACCACAGCCAGGGGTGGACCAGTCTGAAGCCAGGAGTTCTGTCTAGATCTCAGGGACCCAGCTACTTGAGCCATCCCTCTCCAGGTAGCCAGCTGCAGTTCTGTGGGTCCCAAGCCCAGACCAGGCATGGCTGGGCTGAGGTATCCAGGTCTCCCGTCCACACTCCTTGCTGGTGCCTCCAGGACCTCTTCTGTTTCCTGCTCACTCGGGCTAGTTGGCAGAACTCAGCTTTTGTAACTTTAGGGTCCACCTCCTGGCTGGCAGTTAAAGGGGCTGATGGCAGCAAGGAGCGGCAGCTGAGTTCCTCAGCCCCGCTCCTGGGAGGAGCTGGTGGAAAACTTCCCAGGCTCACTCGCTCTCCTGCTGACTGGCTCATCTGCTGGCTAGAGTGGGCCCACCTGGATGCCCTCCTCTAGGTGCTTAGTGATTGGCTGTAAGGTCTCTCTGGCCATGGAAAGTGACACAGCCCCAGGCTGTGGACATCACTCAGCTACGACTCTGTCCATCTCAGTCCCCCAGCACGGGGTGACCTGTGACCCAAAACCTGCCTGCTACCTTTCCAGGGAGAAGTCTGCGTGGTTCCCTGTGCGGCAGGTACCTATGGTCCCAACTGCTCGTCCATCTGTAGCTGTCACAACGGTGGCACCTGCTCCCCGGTCGATGGCTCCTGCACCTGCAAGGAAGGTAAGGTGCCCTGACTCCCGGCCCCTCCCGCACTGAGCAGGCTCAGGTGGGGGTTAAACCTGCCCCACCCACCCACGTACTCCTCAGGCTCCATCTGCACCGGAAACAGTAGGAATGTTAGGGAGTGGAGGGGCAAGGGGAGCTCAGGCTCCAGCCCCAGCCCCAGTTCTGCTAAGAGCTGATCTGTTTCTGAGCCATCCCTTTTTGGGGCGTGGTTTGTGCTGTGCGCAGGGCTGGGGGCTGGGGTCAGCAGGCAGCTGAGCCTGGAGAGAGAGGTGACACACCATTCCCTTCCTCCCCATAGGCTGGCAGGGCCCAGACTGCAGCCTGCCATGTCCCAGTGGAACGTGGGGCCTGAACTGCAATGAGAGCTGTACCTGTGCCAATGGTGCTGCCTGTAGCCCCGTGGACGGCTCCTGCTCCTGCACCCCCGGCTGGCTGGGGGCCACCTGTGAACTGCCCTGTCCGGTGAGTGCTGAGTGGGGAGTAGAAGGCCCTTCCCTGGGGTTGCGGTGTCCAAAAGGGACAGGCTGGGCTAGGAGATAGGGCACCATCCTAGTCCTATCCTACCCACAGCCCCTGGCCCACCCTGGGACTATGGGTGCTCACTTCTCAAATGGCACGAGCGTGGCCTGACTTTCCTCTTGGCTGCTCCCAGTAAGCATGACTGGTGGGTCTCTGGCATGCCGGCCTGAGCCCAGGTGCACTTCAGAATCCTTCACAACCCTGTGCTGTGGGAGATGCCCCGCTAGTCCATCCACCAGCATCATTATTCCTTGGTAGGACTGCATGTGCATGCTTCCTCTGTGTTCCAACAGCCCAAGCTTTTGTGATTGGAGATTAGGGGATGAAGCCAGTAACCCTCTGTGATCCTGGATGTCAATCCTGAGTACAGAAAAGCAAAGCCAGCTGCTAGCATTGTGCGAGCCCGTGGCCTTGGGAGTCCCATGGCACATGCTGCCTGAAGTCTGCACTTTACTTCCCTCACCTGTTTCCCATCTCTCCAATGGGCACACTGGTGAACTAGCTGTGAGGACTCAGAGTAAATGAGGCGTGGGAAGCTCTGGCTGACCGAGAAGTGCAGAAACCACAGGGGTTGCCGTCTCCTAGGAACAAGGATACAGTTACCCCTCAGGTTGGGGTTGCGTATTGCAGTCTGCAGAGTTCATGTTTATAATCTGGGTTCACAATCCTGTCCGTTCTGAGCCTTAGTGCTCCAAAGGAGGGGTAGGAACATCACCTCCATCCCTGCAAACCACGTGCACCTGTTAATGCAGCCCCATGATTCTTCAGAGTTGCCTCCTGGCCCTCTGGGTCCCTGTGGTGTGGCTCTGTCGTCCAGGTCCAGCGGAGGCACACACGTCTGGGTGGCCAGCTTGGCTCATGTGTCTCTCATTGTCCACACAGGATGGCACGTTTGGGCTGAACTGCAGTGAGCGCTGTGACTGCAGCCATGCCGACGGCTGTGACCCCATCACCGGCCACTGCTGCTGCCTGGCGGGATGGACAGGTGACCCTCTGCTGCACTGTGGCTAACGCCCAGCCGCTGTCTGCCCCTCCTCTTCCTCCTATACCTGTCTTCTTGCTCCCTGCCTCTCTGCACCCCACCCCTGTTCTCCAGCTCAGTTCAAGCACACACGTAATGAGAAATTGCCACATACAGCATCCACTCTGGAGGCTGGAGACACACCTGTGAGAAACAAAGCCTGGCAGGTGTTGGGGGCAGGTGCCAACCAGCCTGCAGAGTACCTGGGGAAAGACAGGCGCTTTCTCCAGAGCCCTGCCCAATCCTTCCTCCCTCCCATCTGGCTACTTGCCTGACAAGAGGCGAGTCTGTAGACTTCTGTCCATGCCGTGACCATGTGCCCACAGAGCCCATTGCTCATCTGGTGCTGCCTCTGCTGGTCTCAGCCCCTCCCCTGCTAGCCTGTTTCGGGGGGCTCTACACACTTACCAGTGCACAGAGCCCTTCAAGGCAGTCTCCGCTTGGAAGGCCTCAGAGGCTTCCCATGAATTTTACCTAAAACCCTGATTCCTAACATAGCCCTGGGGCACTGGGATCTGGCCCTGGCACCCTTCCTGTCTTCCACCACACCCCTCCAGCCAGCTGCTGAAATGGGCTCCTCAGGACACCAGCTGCCCTCCTGGCTCAGTGCCCTCCCTCCCCTTTCTCCCACACCAGAGCTCAGCATAAAGCTTGCCTTGCCCGCAAAAGGCTCTCGCTGTGCCATGCGCTCCACCCACCCAGCCACACCAGCCACCTCATACCTATTCTGTAGTTGCCCTCTGCTTCTCCTTCTGCAGTGCTCAGCACAGTTGTCGCTGAACTCTGATTTTGAACTGTTTAGTATTCATTCTTGCACTTGACCACCAGTCCTAGGGAGGCCTCGTGCCCTCCCAACCTCTACCCTCATCCCTGCCTGTCACACCCCAAGATGTAGATAAAGTGGTTAAGAATACTGAGCCAGGAGCAGGCCTCACAACATGGTGGTTAAGTCACTGTTTGGGATCCATACATCCCACATTAGAATACCTGGTTGGGGTCCCGGCTCCTCTACTTTCAATCTGACTTCCTGCTGCAGTGCACGCTGGGAGGTTCAAATAGTTAGGCTCTTACCACCCTTGTGGGAAATGAGGCTGGAGCTCCAAGTTCCCAGCTTTGGTCTGGCCCAACCCTAACTGCTGGGGGCATTTGTGGGGGGTGAATGAGGCCAAGCACCCTGGCCATGGCCCCTTCTCTTGGTGGGAGCCAAGAGAACATCCACGTTCATTTTTTGCTGCCTTCATTCCAAGTGAGCTGATTAGATTTTAATGTTATCTGATGCTTCAAAAGTCTGTCTTTGATGGACAGCTGGTCGGCAAGGCCTTGGCTGTTCTAAAGCTAATTTTCCCAGTGTGGGTCCTGAAGATGTTTCAAAGGAGCCATTGAAGTCTTGAGGCTTGTGGTGCGGAAGGTGGAAGGGAGGCTGCAAGCCTGGACCTCCCACTCTGCGAGCCGTCCCCACCCACCACGATGGCTGTCCTCCCAGCTCCAGGCTCACTGCCCGTGACTTGGTCCAATGTGGATTTGGGTCTGCCCAAAGCCGTGTGTGTGTCCCCTTCTCCCATAAGCCAGAGGAGTACTGCTGACTGGCCTTCAGGCATATTCACTTTGCCCTACACACAGCCAGGCACCAGGAGCTCCACCAGGTCTTTGTACCACGTGGGTGTAAGGGCCCAAACTTTCATTGCTTTCCTAGGCACAGTGGCAGGGATCTAGATCAGAAGTGGAGCATCCAGGACTTGAACCGGTACCCATGTAGGATGCTGGCACTGCAGATGGTAGCTTTACCTGTTGTGCCATAGAGACAAGCAATCCCAAATCTTCTTTTTTTTTTAAGATTTATTTATTTTTGTTGGAAAGTCAGATACATAGAGAGGAAGAAAGTCAGAGAGGAAGATCTTAAATCCAATCTTTGAATCCAATGATTCACTCCCCAAGTGACTGCAATGGCCGGAGCTAAGCAAATCCAAAGCCAGGAGCCTCTTCCGGGTTATCCATATGGGTGCAGGATACCAAGGCTTCAGGTCATCCTTGACTGCTTTCCCAGGCCACAAACAGGGAACTGGATGGGAAGTGGAGCTGCCAGGATTAGAACCAGTGCCCATATGGGATCCTGGCACATTCAAGACAAGGACTTCACCCACTAGGCCACCACACCACACCCAATCCCAAATCTTTATTAGATGGCTCTCTGAGCCCAGGACTGTGTCTGACTCAAGAGTCAATGGTAAAAATCAAATATTAGTCCCTCCCCCAAATATCTGCCGGGTGCCAAACCCCAGAGAAGCAGCTATACAACGTGGCAATGCTGTCCAAAAACAGCGCCCGGGTATGCAGGGTTACAAGTGTCACTCAACTGGGGTCCCTGTCTTCAGCTGGTTTTAAATTCACAAGATGTAACATCAAGGAGCAGGGTTCTGTTTTTTTTAAGTTTTATTTGCAAGTCAGGCACAGATAAGGCAGAGGCCTTCACTTGCAGGGTCACTCCCCACACAACCACACAGAGTGTGGCCAGGAGCTTTGAACTCTATCCAGGTCTCCTGTGTGGGTCACAGGAAACTAAGTACTGAACCATCAAAGCAGGAAGCAGAAAGCAGAAGCAGAGCTGGACTCTGTTGTATGGGTTGTGGGCAGCCCAAGCAGCATCTCAAACTCCTCACTCTAAACGTCCATCCCATTTCTCACAGCCGCCGACAGGGGGAGACGCAGCAGCAATAAGCTGCCCGGTGTTGAGTGGTGTGTCTGCAGACAGCATGTCCTGTGCTTGCCGTCCCCATGTAGAGTTAGAAAACGGCAGTGTCCGTATGTGATGTGTCCATCTCGGGCTGGCAGCAGTGAGTGTTTGGCAGAATTAGAAGCCCTGTAAAACAGCAAAGTTCCCCTCGGTCCAGCGTACCTCCCCAGGGGGACAGCACTGTCCCCCAGCCTGAGTTCTTGGGCTTTCAGCCACTGCAGGCAGCTCTGCGCTCTGGGTATGTGTTTTGCATCCTGGGATTCAGATAGATATGTGTAGGAAGTACCCTCCAGATTGCACCTGTAGTGAACACGCACAGGTTCTCTTCCTGGTTGCATTCCCCAAGCAACACAGGCTACCAGCTATTTGCAAAGCAATGTGCGCCTTATCAGGCATTAGAAGTAATCCAGAAATGGTTCAAAGTTTGCAAGAGCACAAGGTGCTTTGGAAGGTTCATCAAAAGATAAGAGAAAAAAAATCAGAGGGCTGATTATTATTATTATTATTATTATTAAACTATTTTCATTGTATTTGAAAGACCAGGGGCAGACGGGACACAGATCTTCTGCCTTTGCACTCCCCCAAATGTCTGCAACAGCAAGAGCTGTGCCAGGTCAAAGTCAGGAATCTGGAACTTCAGCCAGGAGTGGAAGGGCCCCAAGTACTTGAGCTGCCACCTGCCCCCAGGGTGGCCATTAGCAGGAAGCTGGAGCAGAGGTGGGCAAGCCAGGACTGACTGCAACCAGGTACTCCGGTGCGGGATGCAAAGCATCCCAAGTGACAATTGAAGCCATTGGGCCAAATGCCTGCTCAAGAAAGAAAAAGTGAAATTCATGCAGTTTTTTCATAGTACATGTTTTCCATGAACTTTTGGGAGACTTATTATGCAGCTCTTAGGCCTTTAAAAAAAAAAGATTATTATTATTTTTTTAATTGGGAAGGCAGATTTGCACAGAGAAAGAAAGACAGAAAGATCCAATCACAGCTTTACTCCCCAAGTGGCTGCAATGGCAAAAGCTGAGCCAATCTGAATCCAGGAGCCGGGAGCTTCTTTCAGGTCTCCCACGTGAGTGCAGGGTCCCAAGGCTTTTGGCCAAGCTCTACTGCTTTTCCAGGCCATAAGCAGGGAGTTGGATGGGCAGTGGAGCAACTGGAACACAAACCAGTGCCCATATGGGATCCCAGTGCATACAGGGTGAGGATTTAGCCACTGAGCAATCGTGCCAGGCCCAGCTATTAGGCTTTTTTATGCAAGAAATGTGGGTAGCCATGATATCCTTAGGGGAGTCCAGGGACAAGCCCTCGTTCACCAAGGATACCCAGGAGTGGCTGTACTTGGAGACAGCGGCCACCTTGAAGATGTTTCCAGAACTATGAATGGCTTCATGGTTGCTGCTTCTCCCAGGCTCTCTCCTTCTCTCAATCCTCCATACCTGTCCAGATGTCTGCCACCTCTTAGGCACCTGCGACCCCAACCAGGAGAAGACCCTGGCAAATATGGCTCCCAGGGTCTCCTAGTTCCTGGGGAGAAGCCTGCCCGCCCACCCACCGAGTCACCACTTCCCAGAAGGTGGCGTCCCACACTTTGCTCAGCTGCACAATTGGGATGTAGAGGGACCAAGGACTGGGCGGGGCTGAGAGGCTGGAGATGGGAGACCTTCCTGGGTTCCCTCCTTCCCCCACTCTACCCTCCCCACTTGCAGGCAGGGGCCCAGGTGGGCTTGCAGCATCTCAGCTGCCTCTAAATTGGTCCCTCTGCTCCCTTCCCACGGCTGGGCTGCTCAGTTCACAGGGGCTGAGTGTCGGTTTCCCTCCCTGTCTCGCAATCCCTGTCCTCCTAACAAGGCAGACAGGATTTTTTTTCCCAACTAATTCTGTTCCTCCCTGAGCCGCTGATACCTTCCAAAGCCAAGCCGATCTCCTGGGCTTGCCCATTCCACTAGCCTGCTGCATGTCAGCCTCAGTGTCCTTGGCCTGTTAGGGATCACCTCCCCCACAATCTCTAAGCCAGCATAAGCCCAGGCCACAGGCTGTAGTCAGCCCAACACACATGTCTGCCACTGCAGCCCACCCTCCTTTCTCAACTGGGCTGTTCCGCCTGTTCACCTTTTCCCCCCACCTCCCCAGGCGGCTTCTTTGTCAGACCTGGGGTCAGGTGGTTGAGCTCTTAGGTGCAACCAGCAGGTCTTAAAAAGTGAAATAGAATACACTGTAGCACTGGGAATGAGCTAGAACACGCTGCAGGCAGAGACCACAGTGTGGTCATTTCCATCAGGGTAGGTGTGCACCTTGGATGGGGAGCACACTGAACGGGGTTGGGAGGTTCTCAAGGTCCCTCCCCCAGTCCCCTCTGAGTCCCTGGGTGTGCCGAGGGGCTGCGCTTAGGGGAGCTCCCTTTTGGTCCAGCCCGCCTCTCTCCCTGGTGGCTTGCCTCTGCCACCACCTCCTGCCCTGGCCCCTCGCTCCATCTCCCTCTGCCCTGGCCCCCAGGTATCCGCTGTGACAGCACCTGCCCCCCTGGGCGCTGGGGCCCCAACTGCTCAGTCTCCTGCAGCTGTGAGAACGGCGGCTCCTGCTCTCCAGAGGACGGGAGCTGTGAGTGTGCCCCTGGCTTCCGAGGACCCTTATGCCAGAGAAGTAAGTCCCTTCCCCCAACTCCCCATGCCACAGTGAGGACTCAGCCAGCCTGTCCTTCCCAGCTGGCCCCAGGCCTGCAGCCAGAGATGCTGGGGCCCCTGGAGTGAGTCATCCCCCACCTCCTAACCCCCCCAACCTTACCCTTACCCTCCAGTCCTCTTTGTGCTCGCAATGCTGCTTCTGTCCCCAAGCTCGGGGCCCAGCCCACTCCTCTGCAGGAGGAAACAGCATGTGACTCCAGCTCCTCTGCTGCACAAATACCCGCAACAGCCAGGGTCAGGCAGGCCAAAGACACGAGCCTGGAATTTAATCTTGGACTTCCTTGTGGGTGGCAGGGACCCAAGTGCTTAGCCAACACCTGTCCGCCGTCCCCCCCACCCCCCGCCCCAGGGTGTACACTGCTAGCAGGTAGCTGGATCAGCAGTGAAGGGGCTGGGACTTGAATCCAGGGACCCTGCTAGGAGACGCAGGGGTCCCAGCAACATTTTAACTTGCGCTGCCACACATGTTCTATACAGTGTGTGTGGCACACAAGGGGTGGCCAGGTCAGCTGGGGAGTTCTGGGCACTAACCACCTTCTCTCCTTTTCGGCTTTCAGTCTGCCCACCGGGGTTCTACGGTCATGGCTGTGCCCAGCCGTGCCCCCTCTGTGTGCACAGCAGTGGGCCCTGCCACCATGTGAATGGTGTCTGTGAATGCCTTCCAGGCTTCTCCGGAACCCTCTGCAACCAAGGTACCATAGCCAGTAGGGCTGCAGCTGGTGGCGTGGGCGGGGAGGTGAGGGGCCCCGGGGTTGGGGGAAGTGGCAAGAGCGAGCTTGGGAGACAGCACCCACCTCAGAGGACTTGACTTATTTTTCAAAGCACACACAAGGTGGCATGAAACGGCCATTTGGCGAGTAGGAGGAGGTATAAGCTCAGAGAGGCTGTGGACTCGCGATGAGCAGCAGACAGCAGGTTGGACTCCAAAGCCCTCGCAGAGGGGATATTGTAACAAGTGACCAACCCAGGAGAGATCCGCAGCACAAGTGGTACTGACAGCTTGCGCCGAGTGCCCAGGACCCGGGGACAGGGGCTGTGTTGGCCTTGTCTGGAGATCGCAGCTGCCCGACCTGTTTTCTCTCCCACACATGCCAACCTCACAGACCCCTGGCTGCAGCTCAGAATCCGTAACATAGCCGTAGGCAGCCACTGCCAGCAGCAAGGTGCTGAGAGGTGACTGGGGGGTAACTGTCCCAGCCCTCTGAGGACCAAGGCCTCCTCAGTCTGTCATGTTGGAAGCTTTCTCACAGTTAGGTTTTTTTCCCCAGGGTCTGATTTCAAAGTAGTAGTGGTTCAAGGTCATTCATGTCAGTGAAGGCAGGTGCTGCTCCAGCGTGCGTCCCTCTTGGCTTGGCATGGCCCTGACTTACTGAGGCCAACACGGTGTGGGTGGGCAGCATCTGTGCAGGCTGCTGGGCTTTGGCAGGGCGACGTGCACCTGCAAGGTGGAGGAGAAAGGCAGGCATTCTGGGTAGAAGAAGTAGGTTGGGCAAGGCATGGAGACGTGGGCTCTCTGGGAACAGGAGCGGCTGCAGGAGGGGCTCACAAGAGGGGACAAGCAGGAAAGGGTGTGGGGGGCCTTCAGGACAAGCCTTGTTCACAGGTTGCAGAATTTGCACTCTGACCCACCAGAGGGTCAAGGGATCTTAAAGCATCATGGCTAAAAGCATTTCCAGGGCCATCTGTGCAGGAATTTTGAATCATTCCACTAACAGAGAGCTCACTACCTCCTGGGGCAGATGGAGGACCCCTTGTTTGTGCATAGTCTCTGCTGACCCGGGACACTTCTTTAAGTCCCTGGGGCCGTTAGCAGGTATGCGTCACAGGAAGTTGGGATCCCAGAGAAATACATGTGACAGTTCGATTTGTTCACAGCCCTCCCAGGACAACTCCATTAAAAAAAATTTTTTTTTTAATTTTACTTTAAAGGCAGGTTTACACAGAGAAGGAGAGGCAGGTTTTCTACCCAGTGGTTTGTTCCCTAAATGGCCACGATGACCAGAACTGAACCGATTCCAAGCCAGGAGTCAGGAGCTTCCTTTGGCCTTCCCACACAGGTGCACGGTTCCAAAGCTTTGGGCCATCCTGTGCTGCTTACCCAGACTGCAAGCAGGGAGCTGGTTGGGAAGTGAAGTAGGTAGGATATGAACTGGTGCTCATATGGGACCCTGGCGCTTGCAAGGTGAGGATTTAGCCATTGAGCCATTGTTTTAGGCCTGATAACTCTATCACGAGGTTTACTTAGGAAACGCCGGAGACCCGGGCACCAGTACCAACTGGTAGGCCAGGTCTACGTTAGCCCCTGGGCAGCCAGGGGAGGAGGAGCACTTAGCTCCTGCATGGCCTGATTTATCCCACTGGCCTAATGAGTATTTTCCACCTACAGCTCTAATGGGGTTTGCTATTCATGGCGACTGCCCTGGTTAAGTCTCAAACCTTGTAAAAAATGGAGCTGACACTTTCTAATGGCTGGCTCTCCAGCGAGTTACAAATTACAGACGCTGCTCGCGTGGGCTCCTTGAGCGTAGATGAAATATCACCAGATGCTGGCTTGCCGTGGTGCCTGCCCTGCTCTTCCCACTCCACCTGACTCGGAGGGTGAAGCAGGCCAGGATATGTGCCAGACAGACAGCGGGAGCAGCTCTGGGGTGGCTCCGTCAGCCCTCTGAGTGGCTGCAGACTTCGGGGAGAAGGCTATGGTGGGGAGCAGTGGGGGCAGCTTGTGGTAGCTACCCCACACCCCAAGGGATGGGACTGCAGGATGGGTTCCACAATCCAGCACCTGCTGGCCATGGGACAGCTGGAACAGGCTGGGCGAGAGCAAGTTGCTTTCTGGAAAGCTGAGGGTGAAACCTGGGCTGCCAGCAGGTGAGAGGTGTGCCATCCTGCCGTGGCACTCTCTTGGAAGTCGTCACTTGGCAGCAGAGGACAGGGGGATCCCTGAGTCAGCTAGGCTGTCAGCTGTGGCCCTGTGTTGAGGGGTGAGGACTGTCCTCCATTTTCAAGGTAAAGTGGAAAACAGAGACCCGGAAGTGTGATGGATTTGTTCAAAGGTGAACTTAAACAGGAAGCAGGGAACAGTGCTAGCTGTGTCCCCTAGGAAAGGTTTCCTAGCCTCTCGCTGCCTGAGTGGCCTCATGCATACTGTTAATAGGAAGCAGTAACAGGAATGTCCAGGAATGAAAGCATTGGAGGGGGAGGGGAACTAATGTTTGTGAACACGGCCTGGGCATAGGAGTACTATATCCATGCAAAAATAGTGTGTGGAAAAGGAATTAAAAGATGCATTTATTTTGGTGTGAAACATCTTGAAATTCATGCATATGAGGGGTCTTCACAGAATTTGAGAGGGATGGGTGGGGGTTGGGGTAGTAGTCCAGTCCCCGCCTCCTCCCCCTGCCCCATTCACGTGCGCCCTGGGAGGCTGCAGTGACGGCCCAAGCACTTGGGGCCCTGCCGCTCATGTGGGAGACCCAGGTGGAGTTCTAGGGTTCTGGGCTTGGCCTGGCTGCCATAGGCATTTGGGGGAATGAACCAGTAGATGGAAAATTTTTCTCTCTCCCAGCCTTTCAACTAAGTAAAACAAAAATGTTTCATTCGTGACAACTGTGTATAATGAACAAAACTATGCATGAATTTCAAAGTTTGGCAGGGTTTTGTTTGTTTGTTTTTGGTTTTTGTTGTTTTGCATCAAATTTCATTCATTTTTCTATGAACTTTCTCAAGGACCCTCCCCTGTGTTAGTTAACTACAGAAGGAAACGCTAGCCCCAGGCTTTGGACTTGGGAGTCGGGTCTACCATGCAGCCCTTGTTGTTGGTCTCCTCCCCAGATCAGGAGAGGCCCAGGGTGGACTCAGACCCTGGGGTCAGGTTGGGAAGGGCTGGCCCCATGAGGCAGTGTGCAGTGAAGAAAGTCAGTCAGCTCTAGACTTGAGGACTGAGACGTGGGGAAGCCACTTCTCTTCAAGGAGCAACACCTTCCCATGAGCCTCTCTGTGTGGCTCACCCTACTGAAGCCTATACACACACACCCCCACACACACCTCCCTACCGCCCACTTCCCTACCCCCAGTAGGGACCCACCCTGCCTTCCTGGAAGATGTGCTGGCAGGAACTGGAGCGCCCCCTGGAGGTCGCTGCTGTCAAGGCCTATTTGGGCCGTTCTCGAACATTCGAACATTCCCCTTTGTGGACCTGCCACTGCGTTTGGCTCAAACACAGCAAAAGCTGGAGCCCCAGGTTCCCCGCCCTCGAAAAGCCTCGTCCAAAGGGGGAAAGCAAAACTTAGGAGACAAGTTGGGAGGAAGGTGTGGCCAGTTTGTTTTCCCGCCTTGAGCCACGATGCCAGGTGCTGTGGGAACATAGACCTGGGTAGGCCTGACCTGAAACAGGCTCAGAGGTCACAGGACCAGGACACCAGGATAGAGACTGGTTCAATAGGTTTACCACCACCTAGAACAGAGAAATCTGCAATGATGAAAGTCAGTGATGAGGTTACATTTTTCAAAAATAACTGGCTTGAAAATGATAGGCCTTGATGTCCTCACACAGGAACACACACAAACACGTACGTGCACAAAAAGAGTCCTAGATGTAAGAATGTTAGGGTAGCCTGCAAAGATGGCAGGACTCCAGCTCCTCCTAGCTTCCTCTGCTAACCTGAGCACATGGCTTGCACCTCTGATGAAAAATGGCTGCCGGGGCTCCAGCCATCTTATCCATAATTCCTGTCCAGCATGCACAAGGAAAAGAAGCAAAATAAAGACACATTTCCACTTACCTTCAGCCAGAAGCTAGTCCCGGGATCACCCCTAGCTGAACAGGAGCCCAAGGAATGAAGTCATCATTCCAGGGGATGCTGAGCCTAGCTAGTACTTGAGATTCCACTTCTAGGGATGAAGGATGAATGAACACCCTGACAACAAGCAGACCTGCAGTGAGACCATGGTGGGGGTGGCACTTCAGATGAGTCTTGGGGGCAAGGTGGAGTTTCTGGAGCAGGTGCCATGACGCATAGGATGCATTTAGAGAACGGTGACTTGTATCTGGGAGAGGGGGCGTCGCTGAAACCATGGGAGTCCAGAGAGAGCTGTGCTTACAGGCAATGTAAACCACAGGAAGCAGGAGGAGGGTGAGTTTCCAGGGGAACGAGACAGGTACTCAGGGAAAACTTGATCCAGAAAGTTTTGCAGCCTGGCTGAGGAAGACAGCCCAGGAAGGCGTGCAAGCCACCTCTAGCAAGTGACTCAAAGTGTAAGCCATGGATGCTCAGCTGGAGGACAGCGCCTGGGGGAAGCCAGGAGGGCTTTCTGAGGAGGGGTGCTGAGCCGTCCAGCTCACAGGCAGCCCTGCCATGCCGCATCCAGCTGCAGGCTTCATGAGGCTGTCCCAGGTGGACAGCAGGGGGCGCTGTGGAGCAGCACAGGAAACCCTGGGCTGAGAGTACAAAGGGAGGATGCCCAGCCTTACTACCTCCCATCTGTAGGACTCAAGCCAAGGGATGCCACCTCTGCAGACCTCAGTCTATGCCCTCTTGAAAATGGTCTCAATAGAGCCTCCCAAAGAAGCCACAGTGGCCTTGAGAGGGCCAACTTGTTATGTACCAGTGGAGAGGGATAATGGGTAAGCTGAGTGGGTGGTTTGTGTGGTCATAACCGTGGGTACTAGGGTGCATTTCCCTGTACCCACAGTGTGTGCTGGAGGGCGCTTTGGGCAGGACTGTGCCCAGCTGTGCTCCTGTGCCAACAACGGGACCTGCAGCCCCATTGATGGTTCCTGCCAGTGCTTCCCCGGGTGGATCGGCAAAGACTGCTCCCAGGGTAAGCGGCCATCACCCATAAAATGCCCTCACCCAAGTCAGGCCCTGAAAGTCTCCCTTTCTTGCCCCCAAACCTTGATGCCCTGGTACCTCTCCTTCCATGCCCAAAAGCTTCTACAGATTAGATTTACTCTATAGCTAACACAGTGAATCACCAGGATTGATCAGTGGTATTACCTGCTGGTATTAAAGGTATTGATACTACAAACTCTGCTATTAATGCTATTCTGAGAGTCGATACTCCATTAGCACCTGGAACTCCATTAGCGTGTAGGAACTGATGGGATGAAGTTAGGGAGTGTGGAAGCCAAGTGAGGCCAGGATGTTCACTCCAGGAGGGGGCAGGGCCCCTCTGGGTGGCTGCTAGGGTGTCCTGGGCATCCCAAGCCTAGGCAGGGTCTTGGAGGGCTGTTCCTGTAACATGCACCTGATCTGATGCAAAGACGCCAGCCCCTTCCCAGGGAGAGCTTCATCTAAGGGCAGAGACCCCAGTTTCAAAATTGACCTGATTTCTCAGGTCAGCCAGAGCCCTAGAGAGGTCCCAGTTAGACGTCATGGTCTGAGGGAATTTCCATTCTCATGGGGGAAGATACATGTTCCCACCCTTGGGAGGCTCGCCAGTAAGAGCAGAAGTCCCTGGCGTGGGATAGTCCCCCCCCCCCCCCGTCACAGGGAAGTTAGAATATGCAGCATCCACCTCATCAACCACAGAGCTCACCCACATGCTCCCCATCAGTCCCCTGGCTGCAGGAGCTGTCAGGCCAAAGTCTGACAGTGGGCGGAGTCCTGGGCTTTCAGAAACCCTGGGAGTGTGAGGAGGTCTGGAACTGTCACCAGGGGTCCCCGTGGCATCTTGGTTGTCATGTCACCCTTTCTACCTGCCCTTCTCTGCCTTGACCTCACCCCCTGCCTACCGCCCAGCTTGCCCACCTGGATTCTGGGGCCCTGCCTGCTTCCATACCTGCAGCTGCCACAACGGGGCTAGCTGCAGTGCCGAGGATGGAGCCTGCCACTGCACCCCAGGCTGGACCGGACTCTTCTGCACACAGCGTAAGCCCTGCCTCCTGGCCTCCCCGCCACTCTGAATCCCATGCTGCAGCCTACTGGCCGCTGTGGGCATTGCCCAAGCCTGCCACAGAGTGAGGGGGAGAGGAAGCGAGGACCAACCACCCTAGGACTGGGGAGCTCTTGGAGGAGACTGGACTCGGGTTGACAGGCCCAAAGTCTTGGAAGGACAGCGCTATGAAGTGCATAGCAATCACTGAGGGCAGACCCCACTCTGTCAGTGGAGCCTGGGGGAGCCTCTGCTCACACAGACTTGCTCCTGCCTCCAGCTCCCAAGCAACTTTTGTTGTAAAGACCATCCCTGACACCATCCCACTTCAGCATGAGTCCAGAACCAGCCCTGGTGCAGGGTTTCATGAGTCTTCAACCTCTCCACGGGAGATGGTGAATGACAGGTCAGGTCCCAGCCACATCCTGTGGCAAGTCCTTTACCTGGAAGTGACTGGAGTTTGTTTCTCCAGGCTGCCCAGCAGCATTTTTCGGGAAGGACTGTGGGCGTGTGTGCCAGTGTCAGAATGGAGCCAGCTGTGACCACATCAGCGGCAAGTGCACCTGCCGTACAGGCTTCGCTGGACAACACTGTGAACAGAGTAAGCTGTCCCGGCCCCTGGCCCCCTGGTGTGGGGGCCTGGCCTCAGCCTCCTGGGATGGGGGGAACTGACCCCTTCAATAACTCAGGGCCATGAGACTCTGGTGCCCTTGACTCTGGGGTGACTCCCAAAGATAATGTCTGTGCTCACGCCCACACTGATGTTTGAAGATGTCTTCTGGTTGGCATGGGGATGGTGTTATGGAGGGCAAAGCAGAGGCCTGAGGGGAGATGAGGAAGCAGGATGATGCTTATCCTATATTTTTAGATTCATTTATTTGAAAGGCAGAGGAGAGACGAGGGCCACTGCTTCAACTCCCGGCAAATTGCTCCAACAGCCAGGACTGAGCCAGGCCAAACCCAGTAGCTGTATTCAGTACTCCCACAGGGTGTGGCAGGCCCCAAGCACCTGGGCCTCTTTCCCAGGTTCATTAACAGGGAGCTGTATTGGAAGCTGACCAGCTAACGACTCAAACTGGCGTGTATGTGGGATGCTGGCATAGCAGGCTGTAGCTTAACCCACCGCGCCACAAGGCCAGCCTGACTTTTGGCCCACAGTTCAGTGCCAGGCACGTGGAAGATGCTGTATTCTGCATTGCATAAGGAAGGGATAGTAGCACTTGCTGCTTTTCTTCCATGGCCTTCCACTCCACCCACCAGTAATTAACGCTCAACAGCAGCCACAAGGCAAGACGCCTTAAGTCCAGTGGGAAGCAGGATTAAAGCATTTAGTTCATGGAACTAAAGGAGCAAAAAGTGTGTCTGTCTCACTCTTCATGCCACACAGGGTGTGCACCAGGAAGCTTTGGCTATGGGTGTCAGCAACTATGTGAGTGCATGAACAACGCCACTTGTGACCACGTCACCGGCACCTGTTATTGCACCCCTGGCTTCAAAGGCATCAGGTGTGACCAAGGTAATACATAGGTGGCAGAGCTGCCTGGGCAGGGGGCGGCTGTGGCAAGAGGCCCTAGGAGAGCCCATCCGGGACAGCTGGGGTTAAAGGACACTTACCTCGCTCGTATTTGGAACAAGAGTGGAGCGGGTTACAGAGACTCCAAGTGCAGGAGGGAGATGGAGTAGTAGGCAGGCTTTCTGTCGGGACTTCCCCATGAGTCACACAAGGGGAACCACAAGGTGGACATCTGCCAAATTCTACTTCTGCCATTACCTGCTGGGTGCCCTTGGGTGGGTCACTTCCTTTGGCTGGGCCTGGTATTTCCTCTTCCCCCATGACACAAGGTTTCCAAAGGGGTTCAACCTTGGCTTTTGCTCACCTTCGTGCATTGCTGGGGATCCAGGTGAGGCAAGGACTCAGCACACAAATGGGGGTTTTGGGGACGTAGTCAAGTCCTGCAGCAGGTAAGGCACTCTGAGGTTGTCTTTAGGAGAGGCAAGACATGAGAGCAGGCTCAACAATCTATCCTTGGGGCAGAGAAGGAGTCGAGACTCATGGTTCTGTGCTGGGAATGACAACGCAGCATGTTTGTTTCCTGCGGATGCTGGCCAGCTGTCCAGCCCGTGGCCAACACCAAGGCAGGCTGCCGGTCCTGGGCTGCACGGCCCTCAGCTGTTGCCGCCAGTCCATCACTTGGTGCTCACACGCCACCAGGGAAGGTGGGGTTATGGTTGTTATGCTACAAAGGAGCAAACTGGGGACCTCGGGTCACAGGGCTGGTGAGCAGCACGTGGTGGGGAATAGGGTCGGTTTTCCCCAACTAACTGCTGGCTGTGGGATCTCAGGTGGGTCAGGCAACCTTTTGGTGACTTCATCTTGTTATATGTGAAAGGGAATTAATCAACAAGTCCTTCTTTCCATAGTGTGGCAGGGGGATTAATAGCTAGCCCAGGGGAGTCAATATCTAACCCAGATACAGTATAAAATAACAAAGCGTGTTATGATTGTTTATCTCCAACCACATGTGTCTTGGGTTGTGATTCTGGGGCTCAGCCCTCCCCCACCAACCCCCTTTCAGACAATTGAAGAAACCAAGGCACGGTGAGGGTTGGGATCACACATTGAAGAATAGGTGCAGGAGTGGGAGGCAGGGTCCAGGGGCTCTGGCTGGGGGGATCGCAGGCCAGCCAGGCTGAGCGCCTCCTCTTCCTGCAGCTGCCCTCATGATGGAGGAGCTGAACCCCTACACCAAGATCAGCCCAGCACTGGGAGCAGAGCGGCACTCGGTGGGCGCCGTCACTGGCATCATCCTCTTGTTGTTTCTCATCGTGGTGCTGCTGGGCTTGTTCGCCTGGCGCCGGCGGCGGCAGAAAGAGAAGGGCAGAGACCTGGCTCCCCGCGTCTCCTATACACCCGCCATGAGGATGACCAGCACCGACTACTCCCTCTCAGGTAAGGGCCGTACTCCCACCTCCCTCTATGCCATGCAGCAGCCTTGGGGCCACCAGGTTTTTTGCTGAAGGCAGGTGGTTGCACCTGCAGCACGGACGGCTGGAGCAGGACTGACGGCTGGTGGGGGGCGGTCTGGGATGAGGGACAGGTGTATGGGACTCCCAGAGGGTGCTGGTTCTTAGGTACCCTAGCTTAGAGTTGAAGTTCAGAGCTGCCTCCCAATTCCCAGGAGTGCCCCATCCGCCTCACCAGGCTGCAGCCATAGGAGAATCCACATGAAGCAGTGATTCCTGCTAGAAGGAGATCAACTTTGCAGCCAACCCCTGTGCACCTGGGGCAGCTGCTGCCTGGGTTCTGTCCATTTCTGCTCTTATCCTGGTGCCCTGAGTGAGAAGGGCTTTGAAAGACCCTCTAGCAGTTGTGTCAGAGCCCAGGCTGTCCACAAATGTGGAAGCAACTCCAATAAGTGTTCTCCAGGAGTTTGAGCAGGATGGGAGTGGGCTGCTTCCTTGCCCCCTGAACCCTAGGCTATTGCCTTGGAAATACGATTTTTCACTTCTTTTGCTGAATGAAGACCAGGATACTTTGAAATTGCCCACAACCCTGGGCCATGGGACTTAGGGTCTGTCTGGGTGAGCACAGATGGTGGCTCTCACCAAATGGCTCAGAACATCCCAAACATTCGAGGCCATTCCTGCCAAGTGGCACCTACTACGTGAGGAAACTTCAGAAAGTTCACGCGCATTGCATACAATGTCAAAACTACCCAGGGTTTTCAAAATTGCTATTCACCAAAAAACTTTTACTTCTGTTCCCTCATGAACTTTCTGAAGTGGCCATGTACAGCCAGCTCTATACTAAGCAGAATAGACTGAGGCAAGGCAGCCCAGGTGCACAGCCTAACTTGAACTCCTGCTTGCATGTGCCCCTGGGTTTTGGCCCAAGCAGACATCCTCTGATGAAACCCCGCCCCCGCCCCCTCCCCTCCTGAGACCCAGGGCATCTCTGATGCTATGAGTGAGGCTGCCTGGGTTTCCTAGCCATTCCTCTGGCCATGTCACCCCGCTATCCTCAAGAGAACAGAGGGGGAGGAAGCTTGGAGCCAAGGGGAGTGGGTTTTCTGACTACAGGGGAATCAGAAGAGGTTCGGTCTCATGCTAAATAGCAACTCAGGCACACGCAAGCCTGTGGAAGCCAACATTCCCCACCCAGGCTTCACCTGATGGTGCCAGCCTCTGCGAGGCTGAATCCTGCATGCAGCAGGGGGCGTCAGCATGAGGTGAGGAGCAAGTGTGGCTGATTTCCATAGCGACAGTAGAGATCCCAGAAGCTTGGGGGCTTGTCTCTGAAGGCTGTGCAACACAAGCATCAGTAATGGGGTGTCACATGCTAGGTGCAGGGGAATGACACATATATGGCACCTTGTTCTCTTCCCAGATGTGTCTCAAAGTAGCAGCCATGCCCAGTGCTTTTCCAATTCCAGCTACCACGCACTGGCATGCGGGGGGCCTGCCACCAGCCAGGCCAGCACTCTGGACAGGAACAGCCCCACCAAGGTACCGGGACCCTGACTCCCCAGCCACTCTTCTCCTGGAGCCCTCCTCTCTCCCCACCCTCCACGTGTGGGATCCACATGGAAACAATACGCTGTGAATCACATAACCAACTCACAGCACCACTGAATGTGAAGTGTAACCTTACATCCTGTATTCTATAGATACCATGTCAGGTAACTGTCCTGTCAGGCATGACTGTGTACCTTTAGCCACTTCATGACATGTGTTGATAACACTATATGGCTAACAACACTACATTATGTACTGCCAACACAGTGTACAACCAACACAAGAGTAGCCACTACCCAGGTAACCACATAATGCCCCTTGCACCCAGATAGATGTCATGAATGTGTCCCCACAAACATTGGCTGCAATTGGTGTAAAGAAGCCAAACATCAGTGAGTCACAGCCAGCGTTCCTGCAGGTCTTTCCCACAGATCCTGGCTAATGGCAAGATGCCCTCTTTTAGTACCAAGGCCCCAGGTGGGAACGTCTCAGCACACGTGTGTAGACAGTGAGTTACATGCCCCTTTAATGTGCTATGCTAAACAGCCTTAAGGATGAGGTCAGATGGGGTCTGAGGGGCTCAGGCTGCACTCCTCCTGTCTCCCACCTGCAGACCTGCTTACACACAGAAGACCATCCTAAAGTGGCTTCATGCTCCTGACTTCTGTAATGTCCTAGGTCTGGAGCATGGCTTTCACACTCTGGGCTGCTGCCCTAGCATTCTGGGGATCCTCTCCTGTCTGCAATACCAACAAGGAGGTTAGAGCAGACCTACCAGACCAAGTTTCCTGCCATGTACCCAACAGCAATGCAGTATTGCAGTGAACCCCCATGACACCTAGAAAAAATGGGACCACCTCTGTGGCAACCACTTGCAAGCTAATGACCAAGGCCACTGTCAGCCTGTTTTCCTATGACATGCAAAAGCTCCAAGCCCTCACACCCATACTCGGCTCAGGGGCTCCTGCTATTCCTCCTGCTCAACACCTTGGCTCAGACCTGCGTTCCTGGCTTCCACAGTAAGCTGCCCAGGGAGCTGAAAGCTGGGTGACGGAAGCCTGTAGTTTCCCAGTAGGAGGACCTTGAACAACCAGAGCCAGAAGATGCTGGGAGTAAGAAGGCATCGTTAGTCACACTCTCCTAGGGTACCCCCCCTGAGGAGCGCTCACTGCGCTTTGAGGGCTCAGAGGACTCCTTGGTGACACCTGAGGTGACTGGGAACAGAGACCAAGCTGTAAAGTCTCTGCCACTGGCTCTGAGCAAGGCCCACAAACCAGGCCTCAGGTCCCCAGCTGTGAAGTGAGGAGGATAGCCTTGTTGCTGCTATAAGGTGGCAGAGGAATGACTGCACCCCAGGGTTCCAGATACCCTGCCCCAAGGCGTCCTCTTAGTCACATGGAAGGGCAGAAGTACTACAGCACAACAGTCTCAGCACATCCCTGTGTGGCCACTGAGACACTGCCAACACCCTTTCCTCCAGCTCACTCCATACCACTAGCCCGCCTCTGTCAGGGCCAGCTTGGCTCTGGGCAGTTCTTGTCCACCCCATCCTCCTTTGGCCCTGGTGAGCCTAGGAACTGTACAACTTCTGCCTGACAATTTGACAGGGCCATGTTCCCTTCCCTCTGGCCCCAGCCACACCACAGTGGCCTGTCACAGAACATCTACCACTCCTTTCCCCTCAGTGGTCTAGGATTCAGGGAGGAGAGGACCACCCCGGGGCTGGGTACACTGAGGCTAGAAAGAGCCACACCTGGGGTGGGGGGGCAACTGGGGCAGTGGGTATTAACTGGCTCTCCTGCTCTCTGAACAGCTCAGTAACAAGTCCCTTGACAGAGACACGGCAGGCTGGACCCCCTACAGCTATGTGAACGTGTTAGGTCAGTAGTGATTCCAGTCTCATTCCCACCCTGCTCTCCTCTCATATTCAGAAGGGCCCTATCACAGGTCAAGGGGTGATGGGTGCAGGGAGGCAATGCCAGCACTCGTTATGGCTCTCCCAAGCCAACAGAAGCTCCAGACCCCTCTTCATTTCTGTATCATGGGGTCAGGAAAAGGTGGCTATGACCCAGGGACTGGGATACGGGGAATCCAGATGGAAGCCACAAGTGTACTCATCTTCTAGGAGAGAGATTGCTGCCTGAACCAGGCCCTTCCAAAGTGCCCCTTTGAGAGCGGCTTCCCCCTGCCCTGGGGGGACAGGGGAGCAATTTCAGAGGAGGGCAGGAGTGGGGATGAGGGGGAATAAGGCTGCTGGCCTGGGTCTTGTGGATCCCTTGTCCCCACAGCCTTTGGGGTGGTGGATTCCTTACAGTGTACCCCACCTTGACCCTTTTCCCCTCCTGCACCTCCCACCCCCTTCCCCTGCCATACAAAGGCCTTGGGAATAATGGCTCCTCCCTGTCATTCCTCTCACTAGACTCCCATTTCCAGATCAGTGCCCTGGAGGCCAGGTACCCGCCCGAAGACTTCTACATTGAACTTAGACACCTCAGCTGCCCCGCTGAGCCACACTCACCAGGTCAGACCCCCCAACCCCGAGACCAAACCTGGCACCCACCCTATTCCTCATCCCTGCCCCCTGACCTATTCCCACGGTTCTAGAATTCTTCTCCCCTACACTGTTCTTATAGCAACCCAACCCCCTCATCTAAAGAAGGAAACCTACCTGGATCCTCCCCATCACCTCTTCTGCTTCCATCATGGCTACTGGAAGTCGACAAACTGGGGCCACTTTGGGTGGAGGGCCACAATATGTAACCCAGAACCCACTTAGAGATGACCAGGGAGGGAATGTCCACATTTGGGGGTTCTCTGGACCCCACTGGTATAGATCATGAAGTGGTAGCTCTCTAGAGAAAGAGACTCCAGCCAGGCCAAGCTTTCCCAGCTCACTGGGTAGGGTTACTGAGCAGGATTTGGAAACTTGCGCAGGCTGTATCATAGCATCCTCTGGTACAAATCAAACTCGCACACGATGGCCTGGGGGAGATGCCAACAGAAGACTGGAAAAGTCAGTCCTGAAATAGGAGCATGTGGGTAGAACTGCAAATAGGTATGTGGGGAATAAGTGCAACGGAGAATGTGACCTCCTTGCAAAGTAGCTCCTGCTCCCAGGGGAGCCTGGGGCAGGGCCTGAGGACACTACAAATGCAGGCCCAAGTTCAGGTACTAGTTGGTTTCTAGAACTCAGGGCAAATTGAGCAGCACTGCCAACCCCTTCCAGGTCCCTGGACTCAATGGCACTAAAGAGTGAAGTTTTGGAATTCTGTATGGGCCTGTACCCAGGGGGTTGTGTTCTTGGCAACAGACCCTGGGCAGTATACAGGGCATCTAATAAACCCCCATCACCAGCAGCTTCCAGTGCAGGTCAGGTTTGTCCCTGCTTTACAGACCTTGCTTTTTGGTCAGAGAGACCAGAAGGCTGTCAGCTATTGAGAGAGAAACTTGCTGCAGTCAGGGATGTAACTGCAACTCAACTTTTCACTTGCTGCTGTGGTACTGGGCCAGTCTCGACTGCTCTTTGGGGCCTGTTTTCCTGTTCCATGCAAAGAAAGAAAAGCTAACTGGCCTGTGGGGAGGGCAGAGGAAGTCCTAGTCAGGTATAAAGTGCAGAACAGACACTGGCAGACAGGTACAGTCACGTGGCTGAAGGACACAGGGACCTACAGGCCTTTCAGATGAGTAAACTCAAAGGGAAACTTGGGCCTGGTTCTGCTCTTAGCAGTGTGTGGGTGGCAGGCAGATGGGAACAGGCTTGAGAACTACATGGAGGAGACCTGGAGGGGTAACATGGCAACAGGTGGGTCTTCAGTGTTAGAAACTGAGGAGGGTCAAGTACAGCCAAATTGTATTTGTAAGTTCTTGCTGCATGCCGTGCTTGGCAGTGTGTCCTAGTCACTACTGTCCCAGCTGAGAAGGGCTGCAGTTTCTTTGTGGAGATGACCTGAGCTTAGGCCCCTGGAGCTTTATAGCCTGCCACTGGCTGGGACAGGTGACCATGCATCACTGGAGCCTTCGGAAAAACTGATAGCCAGAGACGAAAGAAATTTTCAGAGCTGAAAACACTGCTAATACTTTCCAAAGATAACTCTCGAATATGTGCAAATGGCCCACTCCTCAAAACGGGTAACCTCAAAAGTTGGCTGCAAAGATGACTTGATCAAGGGGCTGGTGTTGTGGTTCAATGGGGTAAGCTGCTGTCTGCAATGCTGCCATCCCATTTCAGCACAAGTCCCAGCTGCTCTACTTTCTATCCAGCTTCCTGCTTATGAGCCTGGGAAAGCAGTGGAAGATGTCCTGGGTTTCTGGGCCCCTGTTTCCTAGATGGAAGCCTAGGCCAGTGGCTTTGATCGCTGCAGCCTTTTGCAAAGTGAAGTGGATGGAAGATTTCTGTTTCTTCTCTCTGACTCTGCATTTCAAATAAATACGTCTTAAAATCATCCCCAAATCCAAACAGAACAGGGATTTGGAATGTCATACATCTGCCCTCAAGCTAAGAACTAGTTTTGCTTTGTTTCTTATCTATAAACCTTCGTCTATAGCAACTGCAGCTAGCATCAAACTACCTCCAGTGAGACATTCCTATAAGATGAAGGTTAAGGGGAAAGTGGAGAATATGCCAAGGGGCACTGTGGCTTACCTGAATGCCATGGGCCTTTGAAGAATCTACTGCATCAGATGATTTATAATCAATTAGACCCAGAACCATTTTCTAGCAATAAACAATGCTTTCCTGAGGAGGAGGAAAAAAATAAGCTGGTGGGGGGCGGAAGGGAGAGTACATAGCAGTGTCAGTAAACTCACTCCTGTTTTCTCTTTGCTTGTATTCTTTTGTAGATGTCTGTGGAATGGACAGACGTCAGAATACATACATTATGGACAAAGACTTCAAAGGTAGAGTATCCATCTAATCTGATATCCTAGTACAAGGGCCTTAGCCAGACGGGTGCAGACTGGAAACGGCCAATGATTCCCACATGCATGTGTGCTCTCGTTCTCTCACACACACCTCCACACAGTTAAAAGGTCACAGGACCTGGGGCTGCTGGGTAACACTGCCCAGGAGGAGCAATCATCATCATCATCGTAATGAATTCATCTTTCGATTTCAGTTGCACCTGCTTAGCAAACACTTGTGGGTTTTTTATAGATGCCAACTAAATGCCTTCGGAAATGTAGAACATCATTATCCAACCAATTAGTAGGAGTTAAATTGATTATAAAATGTGAAATAAAGTCAATCTACCTGCCCCAGAGGCCTCCTGTCGTTGCACTGGCGAGGAATGCCGCCCTGCACCTGCTGCCTTTCTGGGGCCCGAGGATGGAAAATGATACCCTGTTAATATTGTATGGCATCCAGCCTCAAGAGCAGAGGAGCCAGCACAATCCCTAACACGTGGGAGCCGCAAGTTGGATCATCCCTGTAGGAAATCTACAGGTGACATCAACAGTGAAAGGTCAGGTCCTGCCCCTGGCTAACGCCCTAAGTTTAAACGCCAGAACTTATCAAATAGGGGACTTTGGAACTCCATCACTTATTAACGTGGCCTTAGACTATGAGATTTCTGGGGCTTACCTTCCTCACCTGCAAGGCGGGGATAATTATGCTGTCCTGTTGTCTAATGCCTGTCCTGTTGTCTAACAAGGCTATCATGAGAATCCAATAAAACCAGAGATGGGAACTGTTTCTGCATATTGTAGAGGTTGTACTGATGTAACGGGACCGTCCTCTTGTCTCTGTGGTCTACTTTGAGTCTTGGCCAAACTCAAAAAGCTGTGATTCTGCAGCACGGGCATCTCATGTGGGTGCCAGTTCAAGTCCCAGCTGCTCCACTTCCCACCAGCTTCCCGTTGTAGCCTGGAAAAGTAGCAAAGGATTGCTCAAGTTTTAGGGAAACTGCACCCACGTGGGAGCTCCAGAAGATGCGCCTGGCTTCTGATCCTTTTGACCCAGCTCCAATCTTGAAGTTTTTGGGGGGATGAACCAGCAGATGGAAGATCTCTCTCTAAATCTCCTCAGATAAAAACAATTTTTAAAAACGGCTTGGGGCTGTCCTCTATTGCTTTCCCAAGCCATAGGAGGGAAGCTGGATGAGAAGTGGAGCAGCAGGGACACAAACTGGCACGCATGTGGGATCCTGTCATGTACAGGGTGAGGACTTTAGCCGCTAGGCTACCATGCTGGGCCCTGATCAATGTCTTTTAAAATTATATTCCCTTGTAATGCACCATAAATTGTATACATTTTAAATTTTATAAACAATGTAATAAAATAGTGGAACCAGTTGTATAAAAAAAAACTGACACCAAAGGTCCAAGTGAATATCCTTAATCTAGCTGTGTACCAACATCACCTGGAAAGCTTACTGAAGCTGTAGATGCTCCTATAAAATTTCCTCAAGCCTCTGATATGGAAGATCTAGAACATGGCCCTGGAATCTGCATTTGCGATGAGCACCTCATGATATCCTTTTGCAGCCTTTCCCAAACTATTGTTTGGAAAGCCCTGGTTCTAAATTAATCCAGATTTCCCTGATTATGTTGTGGTCTTTCAGACATAGCTTTCTAAGGTTTACTTATGTATTTACTTGAAAGGCAGAGTGTCAAAGAAGGTGAGATCTTCCACCTGCTGATGCAGCACCCAAATGTTCAGAACTGGCTGGGCTGAACCAGAAGCCACAAATGCATCAAGTCTACTATATGAATGGCAGGGGTTCAGGCACTTGGGCCATCATTCACTGTCTTCCCAGGCACATTAACAGATCATTGATTGGAAAGCACAAGTGGGACTGAAACCAGTCCCTGACACCGGAGGCGGGTGTCACAATCAGCCAGAATGCCAGCCTAGCGCTAACCTTAGATACATCCAAGACATGGCCATTCCCTAACCAAAGAGAACCAGTGGCCCACAGCCCTTAAGGAGATGGTATCAGAAGTGGAGTAAGCAACAGGAGGAGGGTGGTGGTGGTACTGTGCTCTGACCGAGAGCACTAGGGGTGAAATATCCATGTGTTAGGATATACAAAGGGGGTCATCTTCAAATTAATCAACAGTCCTCACTTTGGAGATGTTCTGGCATTAAGAGTTTTAACTTGAACATACAAAGGGAGGCAAGCACAATTTTATTAATACTGCAAAAACAGCCAAACTGCCTCCACCATTTCATCACTGTGATCTAAGAACTTCAGTTTGTTTTCAAAGAGGCATTGGGGACAAAGCAGAAAGATCTCCAAGGGCCTTTGCAGCTCTGAGAATTATGTATGACTCAAGCACAAACAAGCTCAGACAGGTCCAGACACCTCAACAGATGAGCACACAACTTTTCTGTGAACTCTGTCACCTGTGCATTATGATTAAGGTAGCTACTTCCGACTCAGTCATAAATGTGAAACAAAGCTAAGGAGAGAGGCCTCAACATCATTTCATTCCTGTTTTATGGGATCATAAGTCTGGGCCTCTCCTAATTCATAGGGCCTCAGCAAGCAGGCAGCAAAATTTTATCTTACCACTCTGGTTATAAGTATCCTTTAAATTAGAGAGGAAAGATAGCTGTGGAGGAAGTGTACTAAGTGCTGGGGACCAATACAGAACAAGAATTTAAAAGGAGGAAAAAGGATATGTCACAGTTAAGAACGTAACAGCAAAACTCAGCACAGATAAAGAATAAATCCCACTAACCGGTCAAAACATCAAACACTGAAAAACCTAATTTGCACCACACATGAAATGACTTCCTTATACTATTAGATCAAAACAAATCAAAACTATGAAAAGGTGGGAGTCTAAATGATTCTCTGAACTTAGTGGCACAAAGCTCAGTCCTGGTTCTTGCTGTGTGGTCCTGTGTGGATCTTCTGGGTCTCAGTTTGTTCCTCTTTTGAAGGTCAAGGTTGTACAGCCACCATCCTTAAGGCCCTTCAGCTAATTCAGTACTACCTACCATAAACTGCACCCACTGCCTTCCTGGAAACCGAGACCACATCACTGCCCACTGCTTTTCTCCCCTTCTCCCCTCAGTATGATGATCCTATAACAAACTGCTTCCCACGCCACTCCTGTCAGGCATTTCAAGTGTTATAAAGGATTCTCTTCCCTTCATGATCCTGGAATCCTTGATCCTACTGTGACTGCCACTTCCTTGGTGGCAAGCTCCTGGCCATCCAGCCTCCAAAGCTCTCCTAGCAATAACCTTGGTTTCTTAGGGAGCTGGAAACTCCCCTTGCAGCTAGTGTTGGCCTTCAGGCCCCGAGATCACCCCCTCCCCTCCATCAAGTATGCTAATTTATGGCTGAGGAAGAGAAAAAAGACCTTTTATTAATAGCTGTGGTTTGAGATGTAAGTCTGGTGCTAGGTTTTCCCCCCAACAACAGTTCAGGATGTTGGGCCTTAATGAGATGTTAACATGAACCTAAAAGGCCTGGATAATGTCAGCTCCCAATTACAAGATGACCTCGGAGGGTCATTTCCAGTCTGGACCTGCTGCTTCCTTTGTAAGGTGAAGACATGTGAAGCCCCTTCTGTCTGCTGGATGACAACATAAGACAGGGAGAAGGGAACTCAATGGGAGCAAATGACAGGAATTAGCCTTCAACCCTGGGAAGAGTGACTCTCCAGAGCTTGGGTAACCTTGACATGCTTCCCCTTTCTTCACAAAATGCCCTTAAGGGCAGGGCTGTAAAAGCATGAGGAAGTAGCTGAGAGCAGCTTGCCACTCTCCCCCCTCCCACCCAGCAGACAGGTGCATGACTCAGCTGGCAAAGAGTGGCTTCCTGAAAAGGCATTTTCCAGCTGGCCTTGCCCTTCCCCACTCTCCATTTCCCTGGACATGAAACCCAGATTCTCTATAAGCCAACACTTGTGCGTTAACACACACACACGTGCGCACATTCAACAGCACACATTTCTCTAACCTTCACCTTTTCCTCTGGCACCTGTATGGAAGAGACTTCTTCCAGAGCCCAGTCTCCTCCTCCCAGCTGCTCCTCATTTATCCATTTAGGTGCATACTCTGCTCCCAAACTTGAAAGCAGCCCTAACTTTCCTAGTGAAAATGAGAACTGCTGGCTCACCAGAGCTCTTCTGGGAATTGAGCCAGAGCTGCAAGCCCCTCCCACTGCTGTAACTTACTCATGAAGAGCCACAAAGAGCAGAGCGCCCAACCCTTGTGTTTCTGCAAGGTGTGGCCCTACACACAGAAGGCAGTCCTGCTGGTGAGATCACTGCAGATAGAGTTTACCTTTACAAATATGCACAAGAGCACTAAGCAATAAGATATAGTGAGAAGAAAAACATCTTGACTGGGATCAGAAAGACAGGTTGAATTCTTTAGTGCTAACATGAAGCATTATCTGAGGGTACTTCCAGAAGCTAAAGGAAAAATGGAACTGGTGTGAAACATTTTCTGAAATCAATGCACATGAAAGGTTTTTACAAAGTGTTAGAAAGATGGGAATTCAAAACTACATGTGGAATTTCAAATCGCACCAAAATAAACTTTCAATTCCAATGTTTTCATTCACTTCTCTCCATTCACTTTCTGACCTCCAGCTTCCTCATTTCTAAAGTAGTTTATAAAAGGACTTCCTGCTCAGCCCCCATTACAGGCAGAACAAGTTTCAAGCAACCTAACTGGAATGAGCACTCTACAGGCTACACAAAGCAAGCTGTCATGATTCCCCATCTTTCAGAACACACACCCAGGGCAGCTGTGGGAGTCTGAATATTAAGCAAGAAGCTCTGAGCCATCATGTCTTTCTGCTTGGCATGTGAGTTCAGGGACTCCACAGTGAAATCAGATGGGTCATGTGAAGGTTTCTGGACTGACCACTACTTTTTACGCTATGAAACCAAAGTGCCCAGGGAACAGCAAACTTAAGTGACAGGATAGGCCATGGCCCAGGACCCACAGCCACATTTCCCCACTTGAGTTTCAACCTGCTGTTGAGTCTACCCAGCCTACATTTAAAAATTTTTATATTTGGAAGGCAAAAGCTGGAGCTGACCCAGGCTGAAACCAGGAACTAGAAACTCAATCCAGGTGTTTCACATTGGTGGTGAGGACCCAACTACTTGAGCCATCATCTTGTACTGCCTCCCACAGTATACATCAGCACAAATCAGAAACAGCCAGCACTCAAACCCATTTAGAATGGGAGTCAAACAACCACAGCACAGCCTCCGTGGAGTTTCCAAGATGCCAAATATCTAGGAACAATGAGTTATAAATGTAGCCGTAATCTAAGGCCAGAGGAAGGCCAACTTTCCTCCACTTTCTGGGCTAAGATGGATTGGAAAGTGCTGTGAGCTTGTTACAGAAAAGCATTGTGACCTGTGGAAGCCAATTCCCAACTTGAAGTCTTGCCCCACTTGGGAATGATCTGCAGGAAGTAGATCCCAAGTCCTCACAAACCAGCCACAACGGGGTGGAGAGTGAGGGTGGGGATGTTGGGACTGAGGGGAGATAAAAATCATGCTACCTACTGAACAAGCACCAACATCTGCTTTAACAAGAAAGTAAATCCCTTTGCAACTAGTTACCCATCATGGGGGAAAATACCACTTGTGACTCATGTGACGCTCATGCCAACTACATCAGCCACATGAAGCACTCTGCTCTCACTGGCCCAAGGTGCATCTGGGAACCCTTCTGAGTTACATCATCAGTCTCATTGAACATTTTCATTAACCTCACAAGTTGAGGTAAAAAGCAGACATGGGGAAGCCCAGGATGTGAATCAGGGTGGTTCTAGTAAAGGATCATCCAGGAACTTCACCTTCTACCTTTCACAGAAATTTCGAGCTGATAGGTATCTTCAATCACTCTTGACCCTCAAGCCCCAGCAACTCGAGAGTGTTTCTACATCCTCTTTCTGGCACAGCCTTACAGATGAGGGCCAAAGTTGGCAAACTAGAAACCGCTGCTTTCTCCAGCTTCACTTGGGACAATCTGCAGAGCAGTCAGGGAAATTCCCCAAAGGGGAACGGTGTAGAAGCTCAAGAAGAGTCCTGTCCCCTCTGTAATCCCTAACCACTAAAGGTTTTTTTTTTCTCTGTTCAAGTTGGTCATCTCATTTCGTGGTCTGGAAATCAGCACCCTTTTGCTCTTGGGTATGATGCAACCAAAGACTGGCAGGAGAAAAAGGCTGAGTTCTATCAGGGGTAGATAGTACTGAAATGGTTTCAGCTGGTCTTTGTGAACCCCAGGCACTGACCCTGGGGGGCACACTGCAGGAAGTTTCCAAAGGCCAGCCTGAGATTGAGGTTCTCCTTATGCCTCTTACACTTCACTCTGTCCCACTCTGATCAGTCCCCCAGAAGGGCAGGGATGGCAGCAATGTGACACATAAATGCCACCTAACTACTGACACCTGTACTAAAACACAAACCCAAGTTATCAGAATGAATTCAGAAACATGGTATCAGAAAATGCACAGGTCAAGAAGTTCCAAGACATGGATGCTGGTCTCAGCACTGCTGTTTTCTTACTGTGACCTTAGCCAAGTCACTTCGTCTCTCTCAGTCTTCACCCCATAAAATGAAGTAAAAAAAAATTGCCAATGTGAAAGCACATATGACTATCTCAAAGCAATATTGGTCTACTAAAAGCTAAAGTATTCCTCTCCTCCAGAAACACAAGTCTCTTACAAAAAGAACTCTGTCATTTTGGGAAAGCACACCTGAAGACATTTAATAATAAATCCTTAATTATCACAGGCTTTTCCAACTCCCCAAGGTGTATATACTGGGCCATAGCCTGCTTCAGATACTTAAATGGAATATTTTGTCCTTGCTTGTCCTAAGAAATCTCTCTTGCCTTGCAGATTACATGAAAGAATCCGCATGCAGTTCTAGTACTTGTTCCTTGAATAGCAGTGAAAACCCTTATGCTACCATTAAGGACCCACCCATCCTCACCTGCAAGCTTCCAGAAGGCAGCTATGTAGAAATGAAGTCGCCTATGCACAGGGGGTCTCCGTACACAGATGTGCCATCCTTGTCGACATCTAATAAAAATATCTATGATGTTGGTAGGTGTCTCAAATAAGTACCTCAGTGACATCAGGCCAGCAGAGAAACACCTGGAATGAAAACAAGTCCTCTTCACCCACCCTCACAACATACTCTTGTCCTTTTTTTTTGTTTTTAAAGGAATCCAAGGTGAACAGTCTTTCCTCTACTGCAGGAGACTCAATTCTTGGACCAAATCTGCTTTACAAAACACCAAGACTAACATGAACTAGAAGCACTGGGGGCGGAGAATTGGTACACATATACACTGGTGATACAGACCCCGGATTAAATGAAACAATCAGAATGGGCATTTAAGTTTTTCAGTCACTCTCTGCTTTCCCAGTTTAACCTATACCCTTGAGCTTGCTGAGAGGACCCCTGACCTCTGGGATATCTTAAAATCCCCTGATGATGAACAGAGGTTGGAAATTTAATAGTACATTCACTTAGGTTTTCTTGTCTCTTGAGCAAGCTTCAGTCTTAAACCTCATAAACTTGTCATGAGCTGGTCAGTTCCTAGTCTCTCTCCACCAAGTTAAACAGAATACCACCCCCTAAGAAGAAAACCAAAGCTAATCTGTTCTCTGAACTCATTTTTTCCACTATATTCCTTAGAGCCCACAGTCAGTGTGGTCCAAGAAGGCCGTGGTCCTAACTCCAGCTATATCCAGAATGCGTATGACCTACCTAGGAGCAGCCATATTCCTGGCCATTATGACTTCCTCCCAGTAAGACACAGCGCTGCCAGAGGGCCTTCCCAGGACAAGCAGTCTGAAGAGGGATAAGCGGCTCTCTCATGGCGTGCTCTGCTGACAACTCTGACTGAAAGACAATCCCTTGGGTTGAAATGATGGTACATATTGACTCCAGCTGCATGTCAGATTATTGCATTCACCTGGAACTTCCAAGAAGTGCTTCCAAATGGGACTGGGGGATATGTTCGAGGACGTCTGCTGCTAAAGGCAAATCCTGCCCACACGCCCCACCCCAACCCCAAATGCCCTGGATTATACAATTTTTAAAGCATTTTAAGATACAGCTATTCATCAACATCAGCTAGATATAGCTAAAATTACATTTATGTAGTTATCTGAGATATGAGGCTTACAAAGCATGTGGAATAAGTTCTGCAAACCTTAAGAGGAGGAAAAGGGGAGTGGGAAAGGGAGGGTGCCTTTAAGGGGTTGGAAATGTGTATGTACTTTTGGTTGCTGTTACCATCACTGTTTTACTACACAAAATCATCAGAAGGCTCTAGGATCAATCCTAAACTACCTGAGCATGTATGTCTGGTTCATCAAGTCACAATGGCTGAGATACCAGAGTTTAGCATTTTTAAAACCAAGGCTTTAAATAGATTTAAAAGTAAAAGTAAAATAAATTTATCTCTTCTGCCTCAAACAGGGGGGGAAAAAAAAGCAGAGCTGTTTCGAAAGCAGAACAGATTCTTTGCATCTGCAACAATGATGCTTGGCCAGCCTTACCAGATTCTGCCAATTTATGGTTCAGAACATTGTTAGTTAATCCCAGCCTTGTGATAGCTCCTTCGTCTATTTCCAACACCTGAGTCAGTCCATAGGAAAAAAGATGTTGCTTTCTGAAGGAGATATACACTGACAAGAATTAAGTATCCCTCGAAATGATTATCTGGCCTCCTCAACTTATTATTTGGTTGTCGTCCCTTCATCCAAAAGAGCACCTGCTTTTAAGCGGTGTTTCATAATCCTGAGCTTGATGTAGCATGGATCCTCAAAGTGTAGAGAAAATTACATGCACATGGACACGTTTATGCTGCCTGAGTTACTGCTTTTGATGAAGCAAAATTAAATGATCAAAGAACAGACCGTAAGTAGCTGATGCCACATGATGTAAAACTTTATAGTAAATAGCATGAAGTACTGTTTACCACATATATATACACACACACACACGAAGTACTTCTACCTTACAATCAACACCTGCTGAGACGGCCACGTACATACGACAAGGAGCTGATGTTCCAGGTCCTGGTAGTGAGAGGTCTCTGAATGTAAGTAAACAGACTCGGGTAAATCAAAATGGAGCCGACTCCCAAAACCTGAGGAGGAGGACCTCCTCATAAGAATTCTAAGCCAGAAGGGCAAACTAAGGAAGTTAATGGTTATGTCTATACCACCCCATTCTCTGGTAACAGTCAAGTCAGAAGGAACAGATCCAAAAAATACATACACAGGAAGACGACATGACTGCAATGCTCCACTGCTTCTACAGGAAGTGTACGTGAGAAGCAGCAAAAGCAAGAAAATCACTGAATAAGCCCCATTCCCCTACCTTACACATGGCAAACTTACCATTAGAGGAAAACACATGATACTTACATGAATGCTGCATGTGTGCATGGGAGCAAGTGCTCAGCAATAGTAACTATACTTTCCCAAAATGCCTTATTAAAATATATTAGAAAATTACACGTTGTAGGCCCAAGTAAATAATTCTCAAACACAAAGAAATATAGATAAGCGACTTACCTCAGTACTTCAGGGTACTAAGTATCCAACCATGTTGATGAAACATGGATGAAAAAGCATAGTGAAGTCAGATTAGCAAGAAGAAACTTCAGCTCAGCTGTGGATTTTATCTTCTTCCTTTGCTCTGCATGTACAGTAACTGCTAGCTAGCAAACTGCAAACAGGCAGCATCTCTTTTTGCCAACTCTATCTGGGCAAAGGTATTTAGCAAGAGATGGACTAGCTAAAGCACTGAGTCAAGAGATGTTAGTGTTATTCCAATTATTCGCCCTCTCTGGCTCCTTTTGACCCCAGGCATAAAAAGGGGAAGTAGGACTGGATAAAAGAGAGCTCTAGCAATCCTTAAGCTCTACCATTCTAACACTTTTTAAAGAAAGGTAACACAACTCAAATCGGGAAAATCAAAGAGATAGGCAGCAGTTGTAATTAATTCATAACAGCTGCCTTCACATATCTAAGAGTTACCAGGAAGAGACATTTCAAACCGATAGAGTGTTAAACGCTTTCGTCTAGCACTGTGACAAGCAGATTCACGGTCAGCCTAAACATGTGTGCTGTGCACTCTACTGGCAACTTAAAAAGATCTGTTCACATTTCTCAGATGCTAAATGTTCAAAAAAAACCCATGTGCATACAGCTAAAAAACACAATTGTACAGTAGCATAAATAAGACTATGAAATGGCAATACTTTTTTAAACCAGATTTGTAATATATTTCTTCACTGTGCAAAGGGATTGTACCTTGTGCAAATAAACAAATTTCTCAAGCTAATTTAACAAGAATGCCTACTGTTGTGCTGCTAACCGAAATGTGTCTATAATCTATACCCTGTGGTGAAGAGAAAAACCAAACTACATTTTGTGTGGTTGCTTTACACAGTTAATAGAGTGAAAATTATTTCAACAGTTGCTTGAACATAAAACAAAAAGGTCATCAAATTTTTAAGAAGGGTGGGAGCAACATATTCTTACTCATGTCCCTAAATCACCTAAATCGCCACATATCAGTATTCAAGTGTTTCTCTGCTTTCACAAATATTTGGGTTCAACAATACCTCAGACCGTGTGCTCAGCTCCAGAGGGAATGAAGGTACTCCCAATGTGTGTCCATTCAATGAAGAGCTTCCCACTAGAATTTACTACCCACAACAGTTACTCTATGATCATCTGTTTTCAGGACCTTTGAAAAACAACCTTTGGCCTAGGATTAATGTTTTGATGAAACAGAAATGCTAAAACAACAACAAAAAAGGCTTATAGGATCCATCAAATTCCCTTCATACTTTCAACAACTTTGTATATAGATCTTTACATATAAGTCAAACCAAAAACTTGTCAGCCTGTCCGCTCACAAGCCTTAAGCGACACTCCAAAGTTATCCCAACTTTAAATGTAAGACCCATCCAGAAAAATTATGAATAAACAAGTCTTGAGGGGTGGGGAAAGACAAAACATAAACAAGAGTTACAAGGCTTAAACCAGGGTGCTTCCTGTGAATGGTGTAGGATCACCCCCTACAGACCTTAGAATACTATCCAGTAGCATAAATGATCATCAAAGGCCAGTCACAGTTGGTGTGCATTCAACACACAAGAGCCAAGAAAGATGCATTTTATCACTTACTGTCTGAGCAGGAGAAAAAGAGTATTATTTAATCATTAATTAAAACTTTACTAAAAGGTACCACATAAGAGAGCAAGGGAGAAAGAAAGATCTTCCAACCCCTTTTCACTTCCCAGATGCCCACAACAGCCAAGGCTTGGGCAAGGTCAAAACTAGGGGCCAAAAACTCCATCCAGGTTTCCCACAGATTACAGCAGGGACCCAACCAATCGGGCCATCATTTGCTGCCTTCTCAAGTGCACTAGCATGGAGTTGGATAAGAAGCAGAGCAACTGGGACTCAACTGGCACTCCAAAACAGAATGCTGGCATTAAAAGCAGTGATTTAATGTACTGTACTAAATTGCCAGCCCTCCAAAAGGTCCATTTAATCAATTTTCAGCAATGTGAAACAGGAAATCTTTTAAGAAGGGATGGATATACATTCAAGCCTCGTTACACTATTACTTACACTTTAGTATAGTTGTCATATGTATTTATTATAAATATATTTACAGCATAAAAAATCTAAGCCTCAATAATTCTCAAGTTATTGCACCCCAGATATATCAGAATGAACTTCAGAGGTAGGTATTTGGCACAGCAGTTATATGGCCGCTTGGGATGCCTGCATCTCATGTCAGAGTGCCTGGTTCAGATTCTGGCTCCTTTCTGATCCAGCTTCCTATACCAACACACACTCTGTGAAGCAGCAGGTGTATCTGGGATACCTGGGGAGTAACCCAGCAGAGGGAAGATATTCTGTCTGCCAAATAATTTTTTAAAAAATATATGTCCCTGTATTTATAAAATGAATGCTAGCATTAGCTCCTTCACTCTTTTACTTCTACCCTAACATTAGCCCCCCTCATTTGACACGGAACTGTCAAGACAGACAAAGATTAGGTACTGGAATATGAACAAAGCATATTCCCTGACCTTGTGGCTCTTACAATGCACTCAATACTAAAACCACAGAAATGCAAAGAGGGATCTTGGTAATCAAGTATGGATTTTCTCCAAACCCACAAGTAGAAACTCTGTTCTACAGCTGCAGCTGTCACATTCCCTCCTCATTACAGCTTCTTCCTCTCAAGCCACTGGCTAGTCCAGGTGATGGATCCCCAAACCCTTGCTTAAGAGAAAGCATAGGGACCTGACATCTTATAGCACTGTTACTTAGCTTTAATGTAAACCCAAACCAGGAACTAAGAACCCTAATTGCCTCTATCCAGAATTGTTTTCACATCAAAGACAGTTTACAAATGGCCCCTAGGGCTTCCAGCCTGTCCTGTTTTCAGCATACACACTCCTTCCATGATGTTCTTACACCCAACAAGATGAAAAGCTTTAGCACAGAGGCCAGCACACTGGTCATCAACTTCTTAAAGATATGTCATGTGCCTCCTTCTCTAGAGTTATCAGAAAATGGTACACTCAGAGGATAAAGGTTGTCAGTAGAATGAGTGCCGCACATAGTGTGTGCACTCACTGGGATGGGAACACAGGTTCTGTAATCTTGAGGCAAGGTTAAGCTCCATTGACTCAAATGTAAGAAGGGCATCCTGTTGGCCACTACTTTCACTCCCATCACTGGTGCACATAATGGAGTAGTTATCAGACAACATACATGATGTTTTAGGCCACATCTGTGTCATGAACTATCCTCCTGTGATTAACATGTTAAAGAACTAAATTCAAATAACGTTAAGACTACTCATTAGATTACATCAACAGTCAAATATGACATTTATATCTTGTGTGCCTAAGTCCATTCAACTTGGATTTAACTACTGGCTCTCAGATTGATCTACTTTCTTGCCGATCCCTTTTAAATAAACAAATCTTAAAAATTAAACACAAAAGGGTTTTAAAAGTTCTCACCCAGACACGAATATATTTAAAGTACACATTAAAAGCCAGCAGAATTTTTTTAACAGCAAAAGCCATAAAACAAGCAGTTCTTAATTTACAGTTGACATAGCAGCCCCATCAAGCCTCCCACCCCCACCTTAGCATATATGGTATTGTGATGTACATTGTTAAAATTGACAGTCATTTTGCAAATGTTCTGAGAGCTTCCATCCTACTTTACTTGGTTAACATGGAAATAAATTAACATTTTAAACAAGTTATTGGGATGAGATCCATAATATTTTACAAAGTACATACTTGATTTTTTATTAAATCTATTAAATGAGCTAGAATGTGTAATAATTTTGC